CTGGTGCATTTAATGCTGTTGGAGCTGTGATTGTGGCTGACTTCTCAGAGTCAGTGGACACTGATGACTCCATTCCATTGACTATGGTGTTTGATGCTGATGTGTCTGTAATTAAAGTTATCTGATTCTGTTTTGGGGTCTCAGCTGAAGTGGCCACGCTGGATAAGGCTATGGTTCTGGATGTCCCTCCCTGATCCTTCCACGTAGAAGCCATGATAGTATTTGACAGTGTTGTACCCCTGAAGGTTGTGATGATAGTTGTGTTTAAGTTCTCTTCTTGAGTCCTATGTTTTGGGGTTGTCTGCTCAGTGGACCCAGTAGAACTGCTTGTTAGCGGTAAAGTTGGAGGAGTAGCTGATGTTGTATGCTCCTGGGATTCAGACGTTGATTTCCTTCTGGTTGTTGGTAAGCTAAGTGCAGCTGCAGGGGCGTTGTCTCTCCCATTGTTTGACAGAGCTGAAGATGTAGATGAACACAATATAGTTTCCTTAGTCACAGAGTCTTTTGTGGAGGATGTTGTATCTGATGCAGCCCCCCAGATTGTAACACTGCCTATAAAAAACCAACAAAAAAATCCCTAATCTACCTCTTCCTTCTACAAAACAGAGTTCTTCTCAAATATTCTGGTTTGCCAAGTATCCTTATTGGGAGATTCAATAAAAATAATATCAACATCAACTACATTATTACCAGCTCCCATCCATTTATGTGCCAGCTCCGTGCTAATAGATTTCAACCGATGCATGCCAGGGGGAGAGAATATAATTTGTGCCAGTGACTATGTCTCATTCCACTCAATGACTACTCTAGACACACAGAGAATTAGCAAAAGATGGAAACCTGTTAAATCATTTGGTGTTTGGTTTCTTAATGCCTTGTTTCATGTTAGCGTTCAACTGCATTAAATGTGATTCTAGTGTTTAAAGATATGAGTTTTGTGTGTGTGTGCAATGTGACCCCTAATCACAGGCCAGTTGTTTCATTTAGTGTGATAGCAGTAAAGGATTATTTTGGCATCATTTAATTTTTACCTTGTCCAGGTAAGGTGCTGCCCTACTGCACAAGCATTGGTGCATTGAATCCTCAAAACCAACCTGAGGTAAGGACTATTATTTCCATTTATCAGATGAAGAAACTGAGGCTCAGACAGGTGAAGACATCTGTTGAGGTCACACAGCCAGAAAGTGGTGGCACTGTATTCAAAGCCGAGTGCATCAGATCCCAGAGCCCAATGTCTTCCCTACCACACTGTACTGTCTCACAAAAACATAGCTTCATTCTCATGGCTGAGCCAGCCACACTCTCTAGAGAGAAAGGCCCAAATCAGCTATGCTGAGCTAGATGCCTTGGAAATCTTCCTCTTTCCCCTGGGCAATGGGCGGAGATAGGTTCATAACCTGAGTCCCAGTCACTGTACCCTTAACAATTGTCAAAGGGCTAATACACAAAACTGGAGGTGACTCAGTCCAGGTGACAGGCTCATCCTTCCCACCACCTAATTCTGAAGAGGCATTGACCAATTTCCCCAACCTGCCCTCACCTGGCAGCTGCCCCATCCATATCCCACTTTCTTCTAGTGCTGTGCAGACCTAAGGGGTCACAATAGTGCAGGGGAGCTAGCCAGGATGCTTGGAAAGAGTGGGGGACCTAGGCTTTCGACCTGGCTCTATAACTAACTTGCTGTGTGACCTTGGGGAACGCCTCACCTCTTTCTGGGTCTCCATATTCCCCTGAGCACAGTGAGAGACTCCATATCTGAGGAGCCCTCTAATCTCTGGTGATCTGTGGGTCCAATTGCAACAAAAGTCCAGGCTGAAATGAATAGATGTCTTGTTACAGGGGCCTCAGGTTTTTATTTGCAGGGAGCAATGTTTCCACTGGGTCTGACTCTACATTTTTTACATGTGGTTAACCAGTTGTCCCTGCCCTCTTATGGAAAAGTCCATCCTTTCCCCACTGATTTGTCATGCCACCTGTCATTATTTTCCCCAACTGATTTTCATGCTCTCTCTGTCATTCCATTAGATCACTTGTCTGTCCCTGTATCAACACTACATTCTCTGTTACTTTATAGTAAATCTCAATATTTGGTAGGTGAATCTCCCATCTTGCTCTTCAAAATTATCTTGGATATTGTTGGCCTTTCATTCTTCCTGACATATATTAGAATCAGCTCATCAAGTTCTACAAACAACCTGTTGGGATTGTGAGTGGAAGTTTACCGGAATTACAGATTTCATGAGAATTGACGTCTTTGTGGTACTGAGGTTTTCTGCCTCCCCATCAGTTCTTTTGAAAAGCAATAGAGTGTGATCTGGACTCAGAAGTCAGACCTGGGATAGAATTGTAGCTCTGTGATTCTGTGATACAGGACGTGTCCTGCATGGGGACATGGGGGATGTGGAAAACAACACATGTCTCTGAGCCTCAGTTTCCTCACTGTAAAATAGGAATGATAATAGCACTTACTTAGGTCATGAGGATTTTTGTGTGTGTGTGTGTGTGTGTGTGTGTGTGTGTGGTGGTGGTTGGCAGGTATGGGGATCTGAACCCTTGACCTTGGTGTTATAACACTATGCTCTAACCTGCTGAGCTGACCGGCCAGCCCAGTCATGAGGATTAAATGAGATAATGCATGTGAAGCACTTAGCACAGTGCTTACCACATTGTAGGTGCTCAATGAATAGAATCTGCTATTGGTAATGATTATACCCTTCTGCTCCTCTCACCAAATTGACATCTGTTGGGCCAACCCGTGGCTCACTCGGGAGAGTGTGGTGCTGATAACACCAAGGACATGGGTTCGGATCCTATATAGGGATGGCCGGTTAGCTCACTGGCTGAGTGTGGGGCTGACAACACCAAGTCAAGGGTTAAGATCCCCTTACCAGTCATCTTTAAAAAAAAAAAATGGCATCTGTTTCCTGGATGGTTTGTCAAGGATGCTCCTGTCCCTGGCAAAAGTTATGGAAGGCAGTAGGGGTCAGACCTACTGGGACCTCAGTTCTGGGCCAGCTTTGGAGGAAAGTAACCTGCTGAAACTCCAAGCTATTGGCCTGGCCCAAATGAGAAAGGCAGATAAAAAGGGGGAGACAGATGAGATGACAAAATGAAAGGAGTGGACAGACAAAGAGCATCCTGGACTAGATGGATGGGCAAGGTCAGAAGCCCCACAGAGGCTCCTGCCTCCAAAGTCACTGATACCCCAAGCTTTGCAGACAATTTGGGGGGTGGGGGATAGCTATGCTCACATTATTAGATCTTCCTGGAGACACTACCTATTCTTTTGCCAGCTTCTTCCCCCCTCTGGCCAGGCAGAAGAGGGGCTGTGAGAGCCCCCAGAAAAGGATGGATGGAAAGGATGTAAGTGGATACTCACCAGGCAGGTTGAGGGCTCCATCCCCAGTAAGCAGCAGCAACAGCAGCAAAAGCCACTGGCTGCCCATGGCTGTGCTGGTGGATGGTCTGGAGGGTGCTGAAAGGAGTTCTGGCCCAAATAGGGAAACAGACAGTGGATCCAAGACTGTGAAGCACAATGGCTGGCGCTGATACCACCTCTCATCTGCCTGCCCCACCCATTCCCAGCTGTCCAGACTCCCTCCCAGCAAGCCCAGGGGGTTTTCAGGGCTGGAATCAACACCAACGGGAGGGGATGGGGGGTGGAGTTTCCCATCAGCTGCAATCAGTGGGCCTCTGGGGACTCCCATTCCAATTGGTGAATATACCCAAGGCCCCTAATTGTTAGCCTTTGCTGAACAGCGGGGCAGAACTCTGGGCCTTCCAGCCTTCCTTCCACCCAGCACCAGGGAATCTGAGTCTCAGGGACATGGTTGATGCCATTGGTTTCTCACCTCCTGGGCTAAGAGCTGACCATTTGATTTTAGAGCTGGAGCCCAATCTCACCCTCTCCCCATTGCACACATGGGAAAATGAGGCCCAGTGATTCACCTGAGGATTAGAATCCAGGTCTCCTGTCCTCCAGGGCAGCTCTTCCTATTGCCCACGAATGCATAGTTTTCTCAGACTCTCTCCGCTGCCTACCTCAGGAAGCTACTGACATTCTCAATGGCCTTTGAGGAAGGTCCCAAATAGGTTTCACAGGTCCCAAGTTCCCACCAGACTTCATTCACCTGACCTACACAGTCCTCCTGCTTTCTTCCGGCAAGCTTCGGTGCTCTTCTCCTCCGGGAAGCCTGCCAGAACCCACACTTCAACCAGTCAAACTCCACTGCCCTCAGCTGAACTGCTTTTGAACAAGGTGACCCCACAAGACTAGCACTGCTCAGAGTGAGGGCCAGTCTCGACCTTCAGACAGTGAGAAAAAGGGTAGGGCTGCTCCTTTATAAGACAGGGGCTCCCAACCATGAGGACCAGATTCTCCTCCCCCAAACTTAAGATTATATCTCTACTATTAAGTCAGAAGTTTTTAGGGATGCAGATTCTCTCTCCCATTAGACTGGAAGCTCTTGAGCACAGTCTGTGACTCTCTCATCAGACAAACAGGCTTTTGAGGGGCAAGATTTGTCTTCCCCATGAGACCTGGGGCAAGCACCCTAAGAGGCTGGAGATCCACCAGTCAGACACACTGATTCCAACACAAAACTTTATTATCAATACACAGATGCCGGCCCCAGTGGCCTCACCTTTCTCTTCTTGGTGCTTGGGTCCACTCAGGCCCCACTCAGCTCTGGGCTAGAGCAGGGGGCCAGGGATACCCACCCTTCGACCAAACCCTGGCTACCTTGGCCAGCACCCCTCTTCTGTGCTTGTCCTTGCTGCTAGGGCTCCCACTCTCATCCAGCATCCTTCTCCAGCCTGGCTCCTCCGGACCTGGGGCTCACAGGCACAAGCCCTGCAGCTGCTGCCACTCTCACAGCCCCTGGCCTCTGCCCAGGTGTAAGGGAGAGGATGAGCTTGGGCCAGGATGTGCCAAGCCATGCCAGGAATGCAGGAAGATGCAGCACTGGGTGTATGTGCTCCCACGGCTCCCTTCCTGCCTCTCAGCGGCTGCTCTTGTGTTTGTTAAGGAGTATATTTGTGTTAGAATCATGAACCTGCAAACCAAGAGGCCTTCCTGTGAATCCCCCTGCCCCGACATGGCAGACTCTCCTTTACATCCCTCCTCCAGACTCAACAGCTGCCCCATCTGGGCCTCCCAGAGAAGTCCTTCACAGGTCTAACTGGAACCTGCCTGGTACCCGCTCTGAGCTTGGGATCCCAGGCTGTGTACATTCACAAGGTCCTTCTATCCTGGTCAGGTGGTGTGGGAGGCAGAGTAAAACTAAATAACAGGGTGCCTATTTCTCCCCCGCAGCTCCTGAGGGAAGCCTCAGGAGGAGGCTGCTTTTATGCACCCTAGAGAGCATCCAGGGGTCTTTGCCCACAGCGGGCCCCATTATCTTCCACTAAACAGGAACAGAGCTGGCTCAAGCCACACTAAGTGGAGGTAGGTTTGAAGGCTCCAGAGACGAAACTGGCTCGAAGGGCGGAGCCTGACGGCAGGGGGCGTGGCCTGTCCGAGAAGGAAAGCGGGGAACCTCAGCGGAGTTTGCGTGGTGGGGAAGGGGAACAGTTCTTGGAATAGACGGAAACCTTGACAAGTGGGCCAGTGGCTGGGCTGGGAGTGGCACGGTGAGTACCGATCGGGTAGGAGAGGGAAGACGCACCTTTTCCATGTTAACGAGCGCAGTGAGCAAGTCTTGCTGGTTGGTCATCTCGCGGATGTCCATGGAGGACCCGTTCTCTAATGACAGGCTCACCGACACGCGCTTTTGCATCAGCTCCTTCTCCTGCTCCTGGTTGAAGCGGATGGAGCGCACCTCTTCCACGATGCTGGGGGCAGAGTGGTGAGTGCCTTCCACGGGCCGTGGGGGAGGCGCAGCCCTCCCACCTCTTCCCTGGCGCCCACCACCCCAACTTTGCCCTTCCCTGCAGCCCTGACAGAGGCCCAGGCCGAGTTGTGCCCTCGTGTGAGATGGGAGGAACCCGGAGGTCTGGAGTCCAGCCCCTCCGCAGGAGGAGGACCCTGAGCAAGTCATTTAACCCTTCTGGGCCCCAGGGTCTGCATTACAAAATGGTGAGGACGTGAGGCCAGAAGAAGCTGAGGCACCGCCCAGCCCTGACTCACGGGACTTGGGGGTACCCCCAGTACCCCCCCTACGTGTTGAGCTCATCTCGGATCTCCTTGTACTGCATCAAGTTCTCCTGTATTGCCTCGAGCACCAAGCAAAAGTTGTCGCACGTGTTTTCCGAGAGGTTCGACAGTGGACCCCCCACAAGTGGTTCCTGGGGGTGACCAGATTTCTCCAAGCGGACGACTGCACAGTGCACCAGTGACAGCTCGTTACTATCGTCCTTCTCCTCTACGCCTGTCTGGGGAGCAGGGAATGAACGGGGAGGGGACAGACAGCTCAGGCATCCCCTTCCCCAGTCCCTTCCTGCTTGGCTTCAGGTAGGATGAGGCTTAGGACACCAGGGTTCTAATGCCCCTCATTATAGCTCCAACCAGTCTTAGCCTCCCTACCTTGCTTTGGCAGCTCAACCTCAAATGCATAGGCCCTTCCCCACCTCTTTGGAAATTCTCACCCCTTTTTAAAACAGCCCAGCCCAGATTTCACCCTTGATAAATAAATCCTACCCAGCAAACTTCTAAAGCCCTACCCTACCTACCCTGTAGTCACAGCCCCAGCCCTCAGCCCTTTCAGAAGTACCCCCTCCCTTGTCCAACCTTATGGAAGCTCTACCCTTGAATGCATAATACTGTAGCAAACATTAAAGGAGTGCTTACTACGTACCAAGCACTGTTCATTTACCCATATAATCCTCATAATAGCCTTATGGGGTAATAACTATTATTATTCCCATTTTATGGAAGAAGAAATTGAGGCTTAGATTGGTTCAATGTCTTAAGGTCACCCAGCTGTTCAGTGGTGAGTTGCCATAGAAATATAACATCTAGAAAATCCACACCGCTCAGAAGCCCCAATTGGTGAGTGGGCACTCAAGGTGGGGCTGCTGCCTCCAGGCCCTCGAGTGTGCACACACACGCACGTACACGTGTGCTGTCGGCACTCACACACACGCCCCTCTCCTCCCTCTGCCCTCCCCGCCCACACACCTCACTGAAGGTTATTTGATGCTGTTGGCCCTGCTCTTCTGCCTTCATCATTTGCTCCAGATTGGTGGTCACCACCACGACGAACAGGTTGATGCCAATGAAGGCACCAATGGTGATGAAGATGGTGAAGTAGATGGCACCTCCGATCTCCATCGCATACTCCCTCTTCTCCATCCTGGAGATGGCAGGCGGGGGCCCTGTCACCTCCCTGGCCCTTTGAGCCTCAGTTTCCTCACCTATGAAATGGGGAAATCATCCCAAGGCCTACGGGGACTTGTGCCTGCTTTACTGCTGTTGTGCAGCTCTAATTCCCTATCCCTAGTTGTCACCACAGCTGCTCCTTACTGAGCACCTGCTGTGCTCCAGACGGCGGGCCAGTTCTCAAGCCAACTGTGCAAGGTGGGGATTTGTACATCAGCATTATCAAATTTAATCTATTAGCTGTACTCTTTATTTATGTTTTTCTTACTATAAAAATAATTCAAGCTCATTATAGAAAGATCAGAAGAAAAATATACAGGCAAAATATCCCATCTGCTCTGAGTTACACACTGTTAACACCTTGTTACAAGTCTCTCATAAAATATTTTCCCCCAAATAGCTTTCTCTCTCTCTATCTGTGTATAGATAGATAGATAGATACAGCAAAAGTAGATGTACTCTGTGCCAGGCTCTGTGCTCAGAGGTTTATATTGATTTTCACAGCAATTCATAACATAGTTAATATTGTATTATAATCCCCAGATTTACAGATGGAGAAACAGGCTCAGAAGAGAGATGAAGTAACTTGCCCATGGTCACACGACTAGTGTGCGGGAGCAAAGACAAAAGCCCAGTGTAACTATATTGTGCAGTCTGTGATTTTTTTCCCGCTACCTATATCATAATGGATAAAGGCTACGGAGGCCCTGCTGGGCTTCTACTTTTACACAAAGGGGAAAAAAAAAAGGAACCAATCAGGGGGGTAGGAGGGTCCACTACCTCAAGTGGACTGGAAAGAAATAGGGCTTAGATTTAATGGAAAAAAGGTAAAGAACAGAACACAAAAATGACCTTGGGCAGTGGGTCTAAGAATGAATAAAGTGAGAACCAGAGTTCCCAGGGGTTGGGGCACTTTGGTGGGCTCCAGTGTGGGCTGGGAGGCTGCTCTGTAACCTTAGGCACAACCACAGACCTGTTCCCCTGCCCAAGGCCTAGCTACCCAGCTATTTAGCATGGTAGGAGAAGTCTCCATGAACAGGGCTAGGGTAGGACTTTGAATGTGTGGAGTTTCAAGGGGAACAAGGCTTCAAGTACCATAAACCCCAAGGTCTCCACCAGGGATTTTTTTCTTCCCCAGTGTAAAGCCTTGGGCACCCTCCATCC